TTGTAAGTTTTTATAAATGTCAAGATTTTTTAGTGACCCACAGCACCGCACCCTCTTAGGAAATGAGCATAATTTACCTCTGCATAGTTGCTGTAGCTAGGTTTCTCTACCAACACCTTGCGAGAAACGGATTCTTGTTCCTTACAATCTTCAAATTGAGCTGGTAACTATAAAAATACAAATATATGTTTGTAATATTTTTTTGCTTGTTTTTAACCTGCAGCCATACTGTGTAAGCATTTTACCACTTACCAACAACTCGCTTGAAGGCAAAGCATCATCGCGCAGCCTTGTTACATTTAAAGTTCGATTAAAACATTTTTCTTCAAAATGTAGCGAACAAATAAAAATGGGTTTAGTTTTGGTGTTGAAGTTTTCTACACCAAGTATATTCAGCCACTTTTCTTTTTGTTTCTCACACTTTGGTAATCTAAAACCACAAAAAAGAAATCCTCTTTAAATAGGAACCATTCATCTATCGATATATCGATATATTGAAAATGCCGAACCGTACTGATTTTCGATCATTAAATAATGATAGAAAAACATTAAATCATAATGATTTCTTATATTTATGTGAACACTACACATTTAAATAATATTAATTTTTACAGATTTTATCGCGTATATTAACATTAGATCATTATGGAATAGAACTAAGTTACTTACCTATGCAAAGTAATATTTTGATGTGTGTTCTTGTTTATCATCCAGCAACTTATTACACTGCACCTGCCCATGATAAATGTAGTCGTCTACTAGTTTTGAAATGCACAATTTTCGCATAAAACGCATAAAAACGTTAAATTTTGTTAAACATTTGAAAACAAACTAGTCGCTATGACAACTTAAATACTTGTCATTGACTGTGACAAAACATGACGACCGGCCGCAGCGAAAAAAATTGTTGTCATATTCGGTAATGATAAAAGTAATGTTGTCCTTTTTACATACGAATATACTCTTGAGCTAAAAAGAGACGCCGACATTTCGTTACATTCCTAGAACTAACGACATTTATGTCACGTCCTTTCTTTTTTCTCTAGTCAAAGGATGTATCTTGTTTCTCGTTTAACGTGTAAACTTTGAGTATTAAACCAAAGGAGACGGCATCGCAAGGCATACCCCTCTGTAAAAGGTACGAGAGTCCGGCTCATACTCGTTATATAAAACTAGTTGCTCCGCGTCGTGCGTCATTTCGAAGTGATCGTGGCAGTAAATCGAGCTCCGACAAAATGCCGAATTGCAGTGTATTTACATGAAAAAAAAATCAAAAACGTCAAGTATACAAAAGGACAATGAGACTTTTCCTCTGTGAGTATTTTTAACATAATATTAAAGTAATTTTATCATTAAAACTCGTACTTTGTGAATATTATCGTCTAATACCGAGTGTGGCCATCATAGTTCATAAAGTGAAAAATAATCTATTTAAAAAAAAATATAATTTACTACTCAAGTTATATATATTAACGAAAATATATTTCCTAATAACTAAATCAGTTTGTGATGATTAATAATCATTACATATAGATGTGTAGTGGATTTTGTTAAATGTTTATATATTTAGCTCAATTTTAACACGATACTGAATATTATATAATTAAATATAATCGATAACTAGTATTTATTAAAATATTATACAAAATACAGGCCAAATCGAAACTTGCTACCTCGCAGCAAAAATGTGCAATTTTTATAAAAATAAACTGGTATCACTGCAACCGAAAGTATTGCACTATAGTGATGCACGCCGCAACTTTAGCTATCGATAAGTTAATTAAGCATGCGGGTTTGTCTGCCGAACCGGTTTGTAGGTTTTATTTAGATTTTATAATAAAGTATTACAAAAGTAGTAAATTTTTCTATTAATGGTTTGTTATTACAGATTTCCAAGAGATCCTCTTAGGCGGCACACTTGGATTATAGCTTGTTGAAACCATGAATTTGACACTGCAGTACCAACCTTGAACTTTTGGGAGGTAATGTTTGTCTGTAATTATATTTAGATTAAATATTTTTATTATTGCCTTTGACACCAATATTATTCTACTTGAAAATATTTTATTCAGTTTACAAAAGCACTCCCACTGCGAGTACGAGCCAACATTTAGGCCAAGGAAAATTTGAATGAAAAAATGCCTTGACATAAAAAACAATAGCATAAACAGGCTTCACAAGTTTGCAAGAAATACTATGCCCTAACACTTAACTATTACTCACCAAAAGCCTATCGCTATGCACGTAAAACTTTTGGAACATGTTTGCCTGCACCCGTACATTGACTAAATGGTACACTACCATCGATCGCCGACCAGGGTTTACACAAGAAGTGCCGATGGCATTAAAATTGAGAGTGGAGAGTAACCCTGATAATTTTTTTATTGTACCTTGGTAATGGATGAAATGAAAATTAAGCAATTGACAGAATACCATGCTAGTAGCCAAAGTCATTATGTATATAACCAAAATGCCTTTTAGAACTTGCATGGTACTCCGTCAATTGTTTTATTTTCATTTCATCTATCACTAATATACAATATAATTTCTTGTCAGGGTTACTCTCTATCTAAATTTTATATTCATTCATGCAAATGAATAGGAGCGTTGCAGTGGTATAAAAATCTTCACTGTCCCATATTTTTCTGTGGGTGTCATAAAAGGTTATAGAGGGAGATATTGTAATAATAATAACTAAAAAAGTCCTGTGGTTGCCAACCAAGCATAGCATATGACAAATGTACTGCCTATGAGGTAATTTATGTGAGAGATACATTAGCTAAATAAATAAATATATTTTGTAAAGGTAGTTTTATTAATAACTTAACCATTTAATAATTTTATCATTATTTTTTTCCAGATAAAGTAATTGTATCCAATTAATGCAAGGATACTGCCGACACATTATTATTTTTTGATGAAGTCTTCGATCTTTAAATGGGAGCTATGAAAATAATAAGAAAAGATGTGGTAAATCTCTTTTAGGTGCTTTAACCTCAACATCATCTCATCAATTAGTGTGGGAATATAATTACTGTGGGGTATCACTGTTAGTAAATAATTTAAATAAATCGCATTCACCAGGGGCCAATGTGAGAAAGATTCCTGCCAACCATTGAAGTCATTGTACAAGTTATTTTTTAGTAAACAAACGCAAACCGATAATGTTACAACTGAAGTAGATATTGATCATATTAATAATCACGAGATCTTTGTATACATTAAACTAAGTAATCCGAAAATTAAGGCACAATTAGAATATATTAGTGGATATGTACTAAAAAAATAAAAAAAAAACATTTTTAAAATGTAAAACATGCTTGACAAAAGTACATTAGATTAAAAGATTATTCTAAAGAACAAAAGAACTTGACACATCCATCTCAAGAATTTATAAATTTATTTCGTCCATTCAAGATGTCGTGACTTATATCTTAAGGACTAATAGTAATTTGGATAACATTAAAAATTATTTTAAAACAATTATGTGTATAGTTTGCGATTTCAATTTCCTAACTTGTGTGACATATAATAAAAACCGGCCAAGAGCGTGTCGGGCCACGCTCAGTGTAGGGTTCCGTAGTTTCCCGTCCGTCACAATAAGTGTTCCCACTTATGAGTTTAAAGGTGGGTATCCATTATGTTCGCGCTCCAGCAGCGCTCCGCGCTCCTGCAAGTGCAAGTTCAAAATGATTTTCCTAGAAAGTCCTTATAAAGTTCTACTTTTCAGATTTTTTTCATATTTTCTAAACTTATGGTTCAAAAGTTAGAGGGGGGGACACATTGTTTTTTACTTTTGGAGCGATTATTTCCGAAATTATTGACATTATCAAAAAATGATTTTAGTAAACCCCTATTCATTTTCAAATACCTTTCCAACAATATATCACACGTTAGGGTTGAAATAAAAAATATCACTTCCCACTTTACATAAGGGGAGCTACCCTAATAAAACATTTTTTTCCAATTTTTATTTTACCACTTTGTCGGCGTGATTGATACACATATTGGTACCAAATTTCAGCTTTCTAGTGCTAACGGTCACAGAGATTAAGCGAGGACGGACAGACGGACAGACAGACAAGGCGAAACTATAAGGGTTCCTAGTTGACTACGGAACCCTAAAAATGAAATTAGGGGAAGTCCGGGCTAAGTGAACACCCCGGGCAAAGTGAATAGTCACGCTATTACCAAATTATTCGTTTGGCATTAACCACGCGGCCATAGCAACGTTCCGCCATCTTGTCTCAGTGAGCGCGGCAAATACATAAGCGAGAGGTAGTGTCGTGTGGCGTCCACAGAACGGCGAATTGTGTTTTCGAAAAATAATTTACAATATTTCGAGGTAAGTGTTTTGATGACATTTCCTATATTATTTGTTTATCATTCTTCAGCGTAGTATAGTTCTATTACGTTTCAAAGTGCCTTTTTAAAATATGTCGAACAGGGAATCGAAATCAATAGTTTTTATATTAACTAACTTAACCTTAAAAGTGGTAGAGTTGGGCAAAGTGAATAGGGCAAAGCGGATATGATATCCACTTTGCCCAGCTGTTACGATTTCTAGTTTCAGTATTATAAAGCTCATATTTCGTTGCAGATGGTTCATAAATACAAAAGAAAAACTAATCAAGGCTCTTGGGATAAAGATGTCATGCAGATGGCTCTAAATTTATGCCATGCCGGGGAATCGGTGAAGGGCACAGCTATAAAGTATTAGTTGGCTTATGCAACTTTGTACAGACACATCAAAAGTGGCAAGGTTACTCGAAAACTCGGCAGATTTCGTCCTGTGTTCAGTGAATATGAGGAGATAGAATTAATGACCTATCTCAAAGACATGGATTCCGTGTTTTTTGGTTTAACTCGAGATGAGTTTAAGAATTTAGCGTATACCTATCCCAAAAAAAAGTAATTTGAGTTACCCAAAAAGTTGGGACAAGTATGAAAAAGCCGGAGATGATTGGCTACAATCATTTTTATCACGTCACACTGACATTATGCTCAGGACTGCAGAGGCAACATCGGTTGCGAGAGCAAAAGGATTCAATAGACATGAAGTCAGACGTTTCTACGAGAATCTTGAATCTTTGATTGATAAACGCAATATTGATGCATCTAGATTTTATAATATGGACGAAACCGGTATTTTGACGACACCAAACAAACCCTCTAGAGTACTATCAATAAAAGGAAAGAAACAGGTGGGCATAATTGCAAGTGCGGAGCGAGGTCAATTAACGACTGTCATCGGGTGTTGTAATGCCGCTGGATCATTTCTACCACCCTTCCTAATTTTCGCCAGAAATAAGATGCAACCCAGACTTCTTGACGGTGCGCCTCCCGGGACTCAAGGTACTTGTACGCCAAGTGGTTGGACTTCAGGTGAGGTATTTCTTGATTGGATGCATTTCTTCGTAGAACATGTACGACCTAGCGCAGACAAAAAGGTACTTCTACTCTTGGACAACCATGAGAGCCACAAATATTATCCTGCTTTGGAATATGCAAGTAAGAATAGCGTCATAATTTTATCCTTGGCCCCGCATACTACTCATAAAATGCAACCTACGGATGTGGCCGTCTACGGCCCACTGAAACGAGAGATTAATACATTCCAAAAGGCTCATCCTGGACGCATTGTAAATCAGTACGATGTAGCCAGACTGTTATCACCAGCTTTTCTAAAAAGTGCAGTCGCCATAAATGCAGTTCATGAGTTTGAACGACCTGGAATTTGGCCAGTGAACAAATATGCTTTTGGGGATGAAGACTTTGAACCAGCGGATGTGATTGCAGGCAAATCAAGTATGAATGTCAGCACAGTAGGCATAGATTCGATACAAACAATAGACATCCCTGATTCCGCTGCCTCTTCAACCCCTTCACCCTCACTTTTACAAGAATGCAATTCGACAGTTGATCCCCATTCAGAAATAGTTCTACCTCCAGGAAAAGCTACAATTTGTGAATTATCTAAACCTCAACCTCAAGTCTCTGTTGCACCAATTGTAGTTTCCCAAGAAACTACTAAAACCTCAGAAAATATTATTTACAGTGAAGTATGCTCCATTATTACACTGGAACCAGAAACAATGTCTCTTAAAGCTTCTTCTACTTTGGAGCCAGATGCTACAAATATTAATGTTATGCATCCTTTAAAAAGTGATGCATTGTTAACAGGTACCTCAAAAAATACACGCAGATATGTGAACCGTGATGACCCACCGAATCCGGAACTGGATATTCAAACTTTCACTACAGTCCCGTAGTGTTAAGACCAATACCAAATCCAGACAAACCAATAACAACTCGTAAACGCAAATTGCAAAAGTCGGAAAATTTAACTAGTACACCTATAAAAGAAGAGCAGAAGTTAAAATTTGAAAAAAATGCAGTTAATAATATAAGTAAAAAACTAAATGTAGTGTGTCAAAAAAAGTTCCCAAAAAGATTACTAAACAACCTGTAAAAAATAATAAACAATCAAAGATTAAATTAAGAAATATATATTGAAGAAAATAATCATCCAATTGAAAATTGGGTTCGATGTGGTGCCTGTTTCAGATGGTGTCACGAAGAATGTTCCGCTTTTGAAGGCATTGGAGATTTTACATGTGATAATTGCCAGTCTTAACTTTTAAGATTTGTCCTTTAAACGCGAATTTAAGTTTTGTCCGTCTATTAAATTCCCTAACTAGGTGTAACTTTGAGTTTTGTGTAATTAGAAGGTAGTTATTCACTTTGCCCGTGCACCATATCCACTTTACCCGGGGATACGGGCAAAGTGAATACTATCTCAATATTTTGAATTTTACTTTTTGTTAGTAGTTGTTTTACTTTTAAAGTTAAATGATTACTATATATGTAAAAGCAATTAATAAAGACTGATTTGAGATATTTGTTTTGTTTCCATCTCTTATAAATTTTCTGATAAATCCTTAAATATATTAAGGTATTCGCTTTGCCCGGACTTCCCCTATAGAAGGTATATTAGATATTACTTGCAGGTTCTTTCTTCATAGTTGGGCCAATAATATATATAAAATATTAAAAGGTGCAAGAATTGATGTTGATAAAGATGACGTAATGCAATCTCAAGCCTTAAATTATTGCTTAAAAAAACTTCTAAACAAATAAATATATAGTTTTATTGCGATTTCAATTTTATTCATGCTAAATATCATTACTCATAAAGGAAGGGGAAGGATGTCACTACACATGGCATGTATACCGCATACTGGTCTGGTGTAGACGAGATCGAGCGGGCATGCCAGGGAGTAGGTATCATCCTTTCAGAAAGAATGGGCCAATGTGTGAAAGAGTATGAATGTGTAAGCCCAAGACTGCTATGGATACGAATGAAAGTGGGCTTAAAGAAGTTGTTTGTGTTAGGGGTCTACGCCCCAGACATGTCTAAGCCCACTTATATCCGAGAGCAGTTTTGGGAAATGGTTAGGATGGTGTTAATGAAGTGTAAGGGAAATGAAAATATTATTATGCTAGGAGATTTTAATGGAAGGGTTGGGGTCAGGAGGCTTAGTTATGAAAGGATATTGGGAACGTTTGGTGATGAAAGTATAAATGAGAATGGTGAAAGTCTCCTCACCGTATGTATGGAAAAGAATCTTTTTGTGACGAACACTTGCTTTCGCCCCAAGAGGATTCACATGTATACTTGGGAAAGAGGTGACGATAGAAGCATGATAGATTTCATAATTGTGGATGAAAGATTGAGGGGTGCAGTGGTAGATACGAGAGTTTACCGGGGTTCTAACGTAGGAACGGATCATTATTTAGTTTTATGCCGAATTAATGGTCTATTCAGGCTTTGGCGCCATCGATCATCTGTGTCTACCACTGCGTTACAGCGTATTAGAACAGAAAGTTTACAAGATGAAAGTGATAAAAACAAGTTCAAATGTAGACTGAAAGAAAATATAAGTGGTTTGGATGAATTATGTATGAAGGAGTTAGACTTGGAGAATATATGGCAAAATGTAAAGAAAGGTTTAGTGGATGCAGCTACCGAAGTATGTGGTGTTAGTAAGAGAAAGAATGAAAGGAAAAATAATACGTTATGGTGGGATGATGAGATACGTATGGAAGTTGAAGCAAAGAAAAGAGCATGGCTAGATTTACTAGCAACAAAGGCTGCTAATTCTAGTGGTACGAATGGTGATATTGAAAGAAAAAAGGCAGTCTTTAGACATCTTAATAAGAGAGTAAAAGGAGTAGTTGAAAGAAAAAAGCAAGAAAGAACGGATAAGAATGATAGAAGAATATCGGATAACTTCCAGGCAAATATTAAAATGTTCTGGAAACTTGTAAGAACTGCCAGGGGACATTCAAAACAGCCTATGATGAATGCTATAAGAGACGAGAATGGCTATATTCTGAATGATGAAGTTTTGAGTTTAAAGAGATGGAAGGAATATTTGGAAAGCGTGTTTATGAGTGAGGAGACAACGTGTGTACTAAGTGAAGTAGAAACACCGAAAGAAGAGGAAAGAGATAGCGAGATAAGTATAGATGAAATAATGAAAGCAATGAAAAGCATGAAAGCAGGTAAGGCTGCCGGATATGATAGAGTTTCACTCGAAATGCTAAGGGCTGGAGAGGGAGTGGTGGCAGGCCTGCTGCACACCTTGTTTAATTTATGCTGGTAACTGAAGCGGGTACCGGTAGACTGGTGCAAAGCCGTGATAATCCCAGTATATAAAGGAAGAGGGTCGCCGCAGGACTGTAAAAACTACCGTGGCATAAGCCTTCTTAGCATTGTGGGAAAACTGTATGCTAAGGTACTGATTGAAAGGGTCATGAAAGAAACTGATGGAAAAATTTGGGATGTGCAAGCGGGATTTAAAAGAAAGAATGGGATGTACAGATCAAGTCTTTTCCATGCGCATGATCGCGGAGAAGTTTCTGGCCAAAAACCAAAAGGTTTTTTGTGCGTTCATGGACTTGGAAAAGGCCTATGACAGAGTGGATAGGGATTTGCTATGGCAAACACTGAACTCATTTGGGTTGAGCGCTGGCTTGATACAGGCATTGGAGTCTCTTTATAGGGACTCTAGTGCTTGTGTTAGGATCAACGGGGTCTACTCGGACTGGTTTGACATCCATAAAGGTGTCAGACAGGGCTGTGTGGTTTCCCCGTGGCTGTTCAACCTATTTATGGACAGTTGTTTGCAAAATTTGAAAGTTGAAGAATGCGGATTAAAAATGGGTGAGTTAACCGTCAAATGCCTTTTGTACGCCGATGATCAAGTTATTCTTGCGTCGTCGGCGGCCGAGTCAAAAGGCATTAATGAACGGATCATTAAAAGAAAGGGATATGAAAGTGAACGCAAGTAAGACGAAGGTTATGGTTTTTGAAAGAGAAGAAAGTAAAACGATTTGTGAAATAAGAATAGAAGGTGAGTTGATCGAGCAAGTAGATGAGTTTGTATATTTGGGCTGCGTATTTAGCAGGGATGGGAGATATGATAAGGATATAGAACGACGAGTGAATGCGGGAAATAGAGTAAATGGGGCCCTTGCACTCTATTGTGTATAGTGTAAGAGTCAAAATGTGTCGAAAAAGGCACGTATGGCAATTCACAATGCTGTGTTGGTCCCTACTTTAACGTATGATAGTGAAAGTTGGGTGTGGCAGAAGAAGCATGAGAGTAGAATAAACGCAGTAGAAATGCGGTCGTTAAGGAGTATGTTAGGGCTAAATCTGAATGACAGGGTAAGAAATTGTGTAATAAGAGAAGAGTGTGGTTTGCAAGATGATGTTGTGACCAGGATTAAGAAAGGAATGCTTCGGTGGTTTGGTCATGTGGAAAGAATGAATGAGGAAAGAGTGACAAAGAAAATTTATGGTGCAGAAGTGAATGGCAGAGTCGGAAAGGGACGTCCTAGGCGAAAATTTATCGACCAAATTGGCGATTTATTGAAAACGAGTACCCTTAACCGACGAGCATGTATGCGTAGGTGTATGGATGTGAAGGAGGTAAGAGAGGTGTGTCAGGATCGTGCCAAATGGAAGTCTGTAGTCTCTGCCTACCCCTCTGGGTGACAGGCGTGAGTGTTTATGTATGTATGTATGTGTTAAGTACAATTCAGACTTAAAACATTGTTTGTATAATGAAATAAAATAAATAAAAGTAGACATCTTTATATTCAACTCATGTTATTACACGTAGTTATATGTATATTCAATATATTTTTAGTTCGGACACAGAACTGTAGTGGGCGCTGGAGTTGCATTACTTAACTGCCAACCGTAGACAGAGTAGGATTCTCCGTCTACGCTGCCAACTCTGTTTGTACTTTTAACCTTCAAACTGTCACTGTTTGCCCATTAAGGCTAGCAAAGTATTTACACCATACAGCCGAGTCTGATATAAATTTTGTTCAAACTGGGTATATTTAATTCCTGACTTCCTGCAGTAGTATAACTGCAGAAAAAATGTTCAGGATTTGAAACTCTATATTTTTACATATTTTTCATTCAACAAAAATTTGTTTGGGAGTTCGCCATTGTCCTTTGTGATCTGTGTCGTTTCGAACTTATTTTCTAACTCGTTTCGAACTCATTTCGTCTACTAGCTAGCGATCCGTAACCGTAACCCAACCGGACAAACAGTCGGAGAGACAAGAGGACAGGCAGACAGGCGGACAGACAAACAGTGGAGTAACATTAAGAGGACTCTGTTGTAGGCTTTGGAACAAAAACCTAAAACTGGTCATCACTCAAACTTAAACAAGCAAAGAATTCCATTAAAAATACAAGCTGTAATATCCTTTTCCAAGGGTTGCATTTTCCAAAATCCTTTCATAGTGTATGTCTTTTTTTTACAATAAAATGCAATACAATACCTATGGCGGCGCTGTCGTCGCGCCACAAGCGAAACACACCGAAGCCTAATTCACGCTATCAACATTCCGAATCATAAACAGTGTATGTAGAACATCTCTGAACTATGACACGGAGCGTTGGCCGCTCCCCGGGCATAACACCTTGCCCGGCGGGAGATATCCCCTTTTCCTTCCACGGCCACAGTGGTGACCACCCGACGTGATCTGAACACGCAACCAACAACCTTCGGAAACTACAATTTCAAGCCTTCGGTATTATCCTCAAGAACTCCTACCATTCACTATTGAGAATCGTCTTCTGTAGTCTTCAGTTCCTGCAAGCCAGTCCAACTTGTCTTCGTCTCGACTCACCGCAGATTTATAAGGCAGACTTCTGGCACTAGCTCCGGCACATCGTTCTCAC